GGGAGGGGAGGGGATGAACCATTCTATAAATACTTCCATTTTAAAAAAAAAATCACTCAATCTATCTCTTAATCTATCAATCTCTCAAATCTCAATCTCTCAAATCTCAATCTCTCAATCTTATTATCTCTTTTATATATTCTTTTTTAAATATATTATATTTTAATATATAAAATTTCGAAATTTAATATTTTATTTTCTTTAATATCAAAAAATATATAATTTATATTTTAAATATATTCTTTACTTTTTGAAATTTTCGAAATTTTAATATATAAAATTTCAAAATTTTTTATATTTTCAAAATTTAATATATTATTTTTTTTAATATCAAAAAAATATATATTAAAATGTCGAGAGAGTCCGGTAGAAGGTCCGTGGATATGGGCGCCGTGAACCGAAGTTTGAGGAAAGGCAAAGCTAAAGCCACCTCCGACGGTTCGACCTCACGCGGTTCTCGAGGAAGACACTCCGTCTCTTCCTTTCCTACTATCCCCGATCAATTCATCGGGGACGGTATGACGGATGAAGAATTCGACTAGATTTATTCTGGTAGAGGGGACGCGAATCTCCCCACTCTTGATAGTCTATTCAAAGATGTTGATGAAGCAGGACTGGATAATCTGGACGGGGACGAGGAGCCTACACCGCACAACAACGACGTCGATGTGGAGGCAGGTGAGCCCGAGACCTCTCGAGGTCCAGAAAAAGGTAAAAAAAATTAAAATCAAATTTATTTGTTTATCATTTTGAAAAAGAAACAAAAGATGGCATAGTTTATGGAACTTGTAAACATTGTGGGACCGTCATTAAAATGGGAGTTTCCGGCGGTTATGGCGGTCCGGAAAAACACCTAAGATTGAGGCATCCCGTGGAGTACGCCAAATACGCGGCGAAAAAGAAGGGACGACAAGAAGTGCAAATCCAAATTTCTCGGTTTGCTAACAGAGGTAAAGGCGGCCTTTTTGCTTATAGCGACGAGCAAAATAAGCAAAAAATGGCCAAAATGATTTGTGAAGAAAATTTGCCATACATGTTTTCTGAAAAACTTGGATTTATTGATTATTGTCAACAGGCATTAAACTCTCAAGCACAAGGTTTTTCAAAAAAATAATTAAACGAGAAATTATTCGCCAGTATAAATTTGAAAAAATAAATTTGGCAAATTTTTTTCTCAATTTTAATTCTCGTGTTGCTATTTGTTCTGATATTTAGGGTGAAACTTATCATAATTTGTCTTATATGGGTGTTACTTGTCATTGGATAGATAGTGATTGGATTATGCATAAACGTGTTCTTGCATTTCATGATTTCAATGATCAGCATACTGCTGAAAATATTTTTCTATTGCATCAGAGTATTCTGCGGGAATACAACTTATCTGATAAAGTGTTTTCATTTGGTTTTGATAATGCTACTAATAATACTGCTGCTATTCCTAGACTTAGAGAAATTTGCCCCCTACTACGATTATGGGTAGATTTCTGTATCAACGTTGTGCCTGTCATGTTTTAAATTTATGTGTTCAACAAGGACTAGAAGCTATGGAGGGAGTTTTGACGAATATTAAAGAAGGAACTAGGAAAATTTGGGGGTCTCGTCTTATTTCTAGGTCTTGGAAGATATTCTGTAAGTCTAAGGGTAGAAAAGAAGTACAATTTGCCAAAGATATCCACATTAGATAGAATAGTACTTACAAGTTTATATCACAGATTCTAAGCTATAAAGAGGATAAGCTATTAGATGGAATAGTACTTACAAGTTGATAACGCAACTCTTACTTTTTCACATGTTTACCAACCAACTACAAATACATTTTTTAAAGAGTGCTTTACAATCGCAACATGTTTTCGTGAAAGTATGGCTGATGAAGATTTGTACCCTTATGTCCGTCCTATGAGAGAAAAATGGTGTGCTTATTATTTGTACATTCCTGATATTTATAAAATAGGTATTATTTGTGATCCACGCTTTAAGATTGAAAATTTTAAAATTCTAATTGACTATTACTACACTTGTTTTTTGGATGAAAATAGTTTTTACTACACCCTTTTAATAGACTGGAAAAATGAAAGAGATAATGCTATAACTCTTTTTGAGAATTTGTTTAAGGAATATCAAGGGTTATACGGTAATGAACCAGAAGAAACAGCACCTCCTCTGGCCCCCAAATCGAAAAAAGGTTTTAAAGGAATAGTCGGTGGGCTTCTTGCAAAGAAAGGGAAGCGTGCTCAGCCTTCTGGGAGTTCAAGTGGTACAACAGTAAGCTCGCACAACGAACTTGCTATGTACCAAGGGCTGCCATGCGATTACGACGAAGACGACGTGGAGTTTGACGTCCTCGGATGGTGGAAGCAGAACGAACACATGTTCCCAAGTCTCGCAATGCTAGCAAGACAAGTGTTGTCCGTCCCGGTATCAACCATAGCAGTTGAACGAGAATTCAGTGCTGGCGGCAACATTCTAACCGACTACCAAAGTTGTCTTAACGCTGAATCTCTTGAAACACTTGTTTGCAACCAAGATTGGCTCTTGGCAAGACGTCGAGCTCAAGAGTCATCGTACCAACTCGATTCGGAGCATTACATGAATGTAACTACAGATGGAAGTTTGAGTTCTGAAGAATAAGTTATAAACTTTTTTTAGGTTAATGTAAATATGTAATTAGTTTTTTTAGGTGAGCGATATATAAGCTCCTTCGAGGGTTTCTTTACGGTTCTTTACCTCGTCGCTTTTTTTGAACCGTCAGGATATTAAATGTAGTTCTTCATTTCATGTATTACTCATTTTACAATATTTAAATAACAACTACTCCCTCCGTCCCAAAAAGTCCGACACGTTTCGAAAAAACTGCGTCCCATAAAGTCAATTACATTTCTATTAAAAAACCACTTTTACTCCTTATTTTTTCATACCCTACCTATCACATCATATCTTTTTCCTAATAATCTACCCATCACATCCTACTTTTACCCATCACATCAAGGGTATTTTTGGAAAGTCAACACCAAAATATCTCTCCCTTAATTTCCCAAAAAGTCAATATGTACCAATCTTTTTGGGACGGAGGGAGTACATTTTTAGAATTTACAATTTTACACTTTAAAAATTTAAAAAAAAGCAAAAAAAGGGGGGGGGGCGAAACCGGCCGGTCCGGTACTGGAACCGCCGGTCCGGTAACCGGAACCGGTACCGGCTGGTCCGGTCACGGTGCCGGTGCCATGGGGTGGCGGTAACGGAACCGGCGGTTCTGGAACCGGAACCGTCCCGGAACCGTACCGTGTCCACCCCTACTTTTGAATCTATACACTTTCTATTTTCAGACGTTCTTATTGAATCTTTCCACTTCCCTACTTTAGTAAGTTTTAACACTCAAAATGTCAATCTTACCCTTTAATCTATTCCGCTTTAATTTCTCTCCTCCAATATTTCCCAGTGACCATCGCGACATCACCCAAGTCTCTCTCTCTCTCTCTCTTCTTTTCATTCTTTTTCTTCTTCCCTCAACCGTCCTGTTCCTCCTCCGATCTTAATTCTTCTTTTTTTTGTTTTTTTACATCTTCAACCTCCAATCCTCCATAGCTTCACACCCTCCCTCTTCTCGCACGCACATGTCCAATTATGACGAAAAGACACGAAAGATAATGGTTGATGACGAGCGACGACGGTTGAGTACGAACTCTAGTTTGGTCTCGATTTTCAATTTCATCATCAGGTTCTTTGATCTCTTCATTATGATCTCCTTAGATCTTAATTTTCAATTTCTTCATAGCCTCCTTCTCTATATCTCTGATATGTTTTGATTTCTCCTTGTTGTGACGGAAGGTAGGGGCGGGGGATGGATACAACTTGAAGAAGAAGAAGAATGAATAGATGAATAAAAGCTAAGGAATGACATATTGGTAGAAAAAATGAACCAAGGAATGAGAGAAAAAGAAGAATGAGCACATGCTAAGGGATGAGAGAGTGTAGAGAAAATGATGAATATGTGATTAAAGGAAGAAGTGAAGGGAGGGTAAAATTAGAAAGTCAAAGCATTTTACATCTTACATTAAACACCGTGCAAAGTCAGAGTAAAAAGATTGTTACAGGATGGAGAGAGTATTATAAGAATGTAATATTTCAAAACTATGTTTCAAAATAAACGTATTTTTATATTACAATTCAGTATATTTTTCTATAATATGTAGCCAAAGTTTTAAAAAATAGCATTCAAAGTCGAACTCAAAATTTCAAAACGAACGGGGTGTACCATACATGCTCTAATTTTTCTACTCAATAAAGATACTAGCACACCATTTTTTTTTAATTTTTTTAAATGCATTTTATTAAATAATCAAAGAATACAAACGTCTGAACAAGCGGGAACAGGCTCTTCACTTGTATAAAAGTAAGCAACAACCAAAGAACTATAATGTGAAGCGCTTATCGGATATTGGAACATAGACTTAAGTGCAATTACAACGCCGGCTCAAAACATTCCACTTAGATCTAGGAATAAAATCATTCCCGGAACCTCAACCCCCGCAAGGGTAAGGCCTAAGGTCAGATAATCCGATCAAGAAAAAATGTTCTAAGCCAAGAAATGCAATCGACATAAGTCCAGTCTAAAATCCAGAAAAGCCCAACTAAAGAATGAATAAAATAATATGTGCAAAAATAATCCAAGTGAGCCAAGTAGAGCCCAAAACTGGGAAAGCCCAAACCATGAAGGAAGGCATGTGTGCTAGCCCAAATTTGCATCTGAAGCCCGACCTGAGGAGGCCCAAACCA